AAGTCCAGGTTCTACTCACTATGGTGTCAGCATGTCCATTCAGGGTAAACCAAGGCAGGGACCGGCCCCTGTTACTGCTGTGGTCAGGGCAGAGGTGAAGGTGAAGTGGAACAAGTGGAGGAGTGCGGGCATGGAGGGCCAAGTCTGGGTGTGTGAGCAGGTCTCCAGAGAGGAAGGCATACAACTCAGCGTCAGCTACCAACTGACAGAGGCAGGCAAAGGCGGGCCCTGCCCATCCCCAGGGGAGACACAGCCAGGACAGTGTGTGAGGGTGGAGACAGACCAGGAAATCCTGGGAGGAGGCCAGGAAATCATCGTGAGCATTTCAGAAAGAGAGGAATGCTCTCAGAAGGGACCCAGGACTTACAGAGAACAGCTAGCCTCTTAATTATGGCCTAGGTTTTTCCCATTGAAACACTGTTGTTGTTATTATCGTTAGCTGCCACTGAGTCAGCACAGCGGAATGAAATGCTGCCAAGTCCTGATCGGTTGTGGATCAGCCCATGGTGACCCGTAGGGTTTCCATTGGTTGATTTTGGGAAGTAGATCACCAGGCCTTTATTCCTAGTCTGTCTTTGTCTAGAAGCTCTGCTGAAATATGTCCAGCATCATAGCAACATGCAAGCCGCCACCAACAGATGGGTGGTGGCTGTGTATGAAGTGCATTGGTTGGGAATGGAACCACAGTCTCCTGCATGGAAGGAGAGAATTCTGCCACTGAACCAGTAATGGTAAATAAAATAACAAACTACCATATTCATAGGGTAAACAAAAGATTAAAGCAGATGTTTTGGAGACAGCCTCGTACAGACCCTGCAGTTACATGGCTGGGCTCAAATCCTTGCTCAGCCATTTACCAGCTGTGTGATGTGGACTCTGGTTCCTCTTCTTTGAAGTGGGAATAATGATACTCTCTTAGATTAGGTTAGGTAAGGCACGAATAGCTCTTGGCCCAATACCCGGCCCAGAGAAAACACCCAGTGTAAGCTATTATTACTCTCTTGTGTTTGGTTGGGTTTTGTTCATTTTGTAGCTTGAGGAAAACCTGGCTGCTACTTTTGACTGTGTCCGTTTTGTCTCCTCTGTGAATCTGGGAGCCCCTGGGGGTCGGGGCCAGTGGCTGATTTATCCCAGACTATCAGCACCTGTCCTGAGACCTTCAATACCTGTGGGAACTCTGAGGTGTGAATGTGTGCATGGGTGAATGGACGCATGACCAAATGAGTGAAATTTACGCTTTGTCTTAGGGCGGTAAAGTTGTTTTGATAACTGCGTACCATCTGGGACTTTTGTTGTTATTAGGTGCCACTGAATTGGTTCCAACTCATAATGACCCTGTGTACAACGGAACAAACACTGCTCAGTCTTGCACCATCCTCACAATCATTGCTATGTTTGAGCCCATTGTTGCAGCCACTGTGTCAATCCATCTCATTGAGGGTCTTCCTCTTTTTCGCTGAC